AACCCAAGGAGGGGTCGCTGTGAGTTGGGTGGACTCCATGGCACATAACAACAACAACAACATGATTGTAGTAAAGTGGGAGAGGATAATAGGGATAAGATCTTGAAGGTCTTTATTTGTCCTGCTAAACAATTGGGATTTTATCCTGAGGACAATGGGGAGTCATTGAAGAGTTTAACGCTAAAAATGGCATCAGGTTTGCTTCCTAATGGGGAAAATCGGCTGTATGGGAGCAAAGTGGATTTTATCCAGTTAAAGGAGACCAGTTAGATTTTTTCAGTAGTTCCTATAAGAGATACTTGTTTGAGTAGTGAGTTACTGACGGAAAAGTCAGTAGATTTGAGAAAGATATTGTTGTTATGTGCCATCGAGTTGGACCCAACTCATAGTGACCCCTCCTTGGGTTTTCGAGGCAGTATTGCTATGGAAGTAGTTTGCCCCATCTTCCTTCTGAGGAGTGGCTGGTGGATTTGAACCGCCAGCCTTCTGGTTAGCAGTCAAGTGCCTTAGGCACTATGCTTACCAGAGCTCCTGAGAGAGACGTAGGTAGTATCAACAGGATTTGGTCATTGATTAGATGGATGAGGAACAGGGTTGTGTCAGATACAATCCCTAGTTTTTGACAAAGGATAAGGGCCTGGTGGTATCAGTCATTGAGATTGGGAATGTTGGAATAAAACTGGATTTTCAGGAGAAAGCGATGCATTTAGTGGTGGTGGTGGTGGTGGTAGGTGCTGTAGGTTCAGTTCCAGTGCACAGCAACCCTGTGTACAACAGAATGAAACACTGCCCAGTCCTGCACCATCCTCACAAACATTGCTATATTTGAGTCCATCGTTGTAGCCACTGTGTTGGTCCATTGAGGATTCTTTTTGCTGACCTTCTTTACCAAGCATGATATCCTTCTCCAGGGACTGGTTCCTCCTGATAAAATGTCCAGAGTATGTGGGACATGAAGTTTTGCCATCCTCACGTCTAAGGATCATTCTGGCTATACTTCTTACAAGACACATTTATTCATTCTTCTGGCAATCTATGATATTTTTAGTATTCTTTTGCCAACACCATGATTCAAAGTCATCAGTTCTGTCTTCCTTATTCATTTTCCAGCTTCTGTATGCATATGAGGTGCATGGTAGACATTAAGTTTTAGACATTGAATTTTAGGTGCTTGTAGTTCATGCAAATGGAGATGCCCTTCAGGCATTTGATAATTTGGGTCTGGAAGTGAGGAGAAAGGTATAGCTCTGGGATCAAGATCTTAGTGATGAACATAATGATTGTGATGAAAGTTAGGGAAGTGTGAGGGGCCTGAACTTGGGGTAGCACATCATTTAAAAAGCAGCAGAAGGGAAAGGGGTCCACAAAGAAAACCAAGAAGAAACCACCGGAGGGATAGATGGAGAATCAGAAGGGAACTGGCATGATATTCAAGAGGCAAGATCGTCACAGGTATATTGGAATGGTCAACAGTGTTAGTATTAGATGGTGTTGTTGTTGTTGTTGTTATGTGCCGTCAAGTCGGCCCCGACTCATAGCGACCCCTCCTTGGGTTTCCGAGGCAGTATCACTACGGAAGTAGGATTGCCCAACCTTCCTTCCGAGGAGTGGCTGGTGGGTTTGAACCGCCAGCCTTCTGGTTAGCAGGCAAGTGTCTTAGCCACTATGCTACCAGAGCTCCTAGATGGTGTAGTGAGTTCAAATAAGGCCTGAAAAGTGTCGTCTGGATTTAATAACTAGGAGGTCAAGAGATGGCAGTTGTCATTATCTTTTAAAACTTGACTGAAAAGAAAACCGATCATAAGAGTGGTTTTGGGTTTTGCAGGTATTTTTAAATGGTAGTGACTACAGTATCTGTGTTTTGAGCAGAAAGCACTAGGCAGGGTGCAGCTGAAGAGGAAAAGGGAATGGTTGGCATAGCTAGGTAATGGGAGTGGAATACAGCACAGATGGCAGGGAGTAGGCTAGGATGGGTGTGCACAGGTTTTGTTTACTTATTGTGTGGGTTTTGGGGACACAGTTTATTTTTTCTGAAGATCAATATCTATAGCAATATATTAAATTCAAGATGCTTAGGACACAATGAATGCGAAATACAAAACTAGGAAACAGAATAAGGTTATGAAGTAAAACTGTTAGGGCAGGATCAGAATTTTGCCTTTCTAAAGCAGGTACAATTTTTTTTTTATCTAATCTTATCAATTATTTTCTTTTTTTATCTTATTAATACACATTGAAAACTTGTGAGTGAATGGTATATATTTATAGTCTAGAATGAGCTAAATTTGTTAGTGATGATTTAGAGTTGTATTAATGAAATGGTGGTATGGCAAAAGTATCATCAAAATATGACGTATCATCATGAGAAAATACAGCTCATGGAGGCATGTGTGGTATTAATTTGAAGAGCAATAATGGAGATAGAGTATGAACCTTTTCTCTCATCTTTTTTTTTTTTTTTTTGATAGGCTAAAGATGGTGGAACACGTCAAGAGCCAAAGGAGTTCAGATTGCCAAAAGGCCATCATCACGTTGACATGGTGAATATTACAAACATTCCCAAAGGCAAAATTTCAATTGTAGAGGCATTGACACTTCTCAATAATCATAAACTTTACCCAGATACATGGACGGCTGAGAAAATAGCGCAAGAATACCATCTAGAGCTGAAAGATGTAAATTCCCTTCTCAGATACTTTGTTACTTTTGAAGTCAAAATCTTTCCTTCTGGAGACAAGAAAGCAATACAACCAAAATGAAGAAAATGATAAAATTGCTTTTCCTCTGTGTCCTCTCCATCTTCTTGTCCTATTCGGTTCCACATTTTAAATGGATGAATGTTTAAAACCCTCTCCTTATGAGAATACACTATTTATTGAGCTCTGCTTCTTAAGATTGCTGAGAGAATGAGAGTCTTTTTATTTTTTAACTTTAATTTGGTTTAGGCATATGATTGTGTGTATAGGTCAGAATGACTAATCATCTGCAAACCATCTATAAATTCAATATAATAAAAGAATGTGTTATTTTAGGTATGTGTATCAGCTTTTAAATTAGTCACGTGGTCTCTCGGAGAATGTCCTGAAGCCCTCATAACATTCAGAGTTTCACTTTTCAGTTTAGGTGGTTAGTGAAAATAAGAACTGTCCTGACTGTTGAGACCTTTCTTGCTAGAGGCAGGTAGAGTTGGTAGTAAGGTAGAATAATAGTATTTCCCAAATAAAAGCAGACTGGATGAAAATTAATAGAAAATGCATTTTTATCATTAATTCAGGGATGGATAAAAAAATACTGGGGGTTCTTTTGTTTTAGATTGGCTTTAAGTATGGAATAACTAAAACTACTGAAAAAAAAAAATTCTGGTCTTTGGGTGGTGCACAAAGTTGGTGCTTGGCTACTAGCCGAAAGGTAGGCAGTTTGAACCCACCCAGCAGCGCCATATGAGAAAAGTCTAGCGATCTACTTCTGGAAGATTACAGCTGGTGGAAGCCCTGTTAGCTAGTTCTCCTCTGACATTTCATGGGGTCGCCATAAGTTGAAATCGACGGCAATGGAGTATAAACTTTTAACAGCCTCTACTGGGACAAGAGGAGCCCTGGTGGTACAGTTTTGAAGTGCTCAGCTACTAACTATAAGGTTGGCGGTTCCATCTTTCTGGTAGAAAGATGTGGCATTCTGTTCCGTAGAAGTTACAGCCTTGGAAACTATGGGGCAGTTCTCTGTCTTACAGAATCATTGTGAGTTGGAATCAACTCCAGCAGCAGGTTTGGTTTTTTGGTTTTGGCTTTCACAAAAAGGTAAATCTCAGAAGTTTTAGAGAGATAATGGGAACTGTCTAAAATATTAATTTTTCTCTAGATTTAATGTAGAAATACGAGAATTTTAAAGAACAGTTCAGTCAAAGAAGAGCCGTGGTGAGATTTGATGATGAAATACACATATTTTCCAATTTTAATGCTAGTTGGGGAAAAAGGGCAAAGTAGAAGCTTAGATACGCTCATTGGCAGGGACCTGGGAACTTGCTGATTTATCCATTCAGCAAACTTACACAAGCACAATGTATACCAGTTCTAGAATCTTGAATAAGACTGTGAGTTTAGCTCTCCCTTGTACTACCTGTGGGATCTTGAGTAGATCATGTACCTTCTTTGAGATTGAATTTCCTCTTGAAGGTGGATATAATGCTGTAAGGGTTACTGCAAAGATACATAATAAAGAGGCTACCAAGGACTAATCAAATATGAATTGTTTGTTGTAGTCAAAGACAAAGGCCTGGGAGGATATCTGACCTTTCTAAAATTGGTCTTAGTTTATGCCATAGCCAGGTCCAGAATTTCTGTTTTCACAGTCCTAGTGGGATGTTTTTTCTGCTGGGCCCAAAAGAAATATGACAAAAATGCAGGATGTGTGAGTTGTAGGAATATTAGGGAATATAGTAAAATTCCAGGTTGTCAGTCTCTTAGGGAAGAAATCCTAAACCCTAAACCCTATACCTGTGGATGGGAGCTCTGGTAGCATAGTGCCTAAGGCACTTGACTGCTAACCAGAAGGCTGGCAGTTCAAACCCACCAGCCACTCCTTGGAAGGAAGGTTGGGCAATCCTACTTCCGTAGTGATACTGCCTCGGAAACCCAAGGAGGGGTCGCTATGAGTCGGGGCCGACTCGATGGCAAATAACAACAACATACCTGTGGATGTAAGCCCATTAGGGAATAGGGTGTTCTTTGTTATGTTAATGAGGTCATATCGTGTACAGTGTTTTAAGCTAATCAACTTTGGGATATAAAAGGTACAGATTAGGTTCAGAAGCAAACAAGCTCCAATGGGTAAAGAGTGATGCCACGTGGAGATTGCCAAAGAATGTGGTGAAGAACACTAGAGAAGCTGAGGGGAGCATTTTCCCCCTGAGTGTACACAAAGGCTTCCTCTAGGGCTAGTGCCCTGACTCTAGGCTTCTAGCCTCTCAGACTGTGAGAAAATAAACTTGTCTGTTAAAGTCACCCACTGTGGTATTTCTGTTACAGCAGCATTAAGAAGCTAAAGCATGTTTTCTATTACATGAATAGACCATGTCTAGCTTATGTCTGTTTTGTAGAGAGTTAGTGAAAAAGTGCAAAACCCTCAATGACATGGATTGACAACAGTGGCTGAAATGATGGGTTCAAACACAGCAAGGATTGTGAGGATGGTGCCAGACTGGGGAGTGTTCCATTCTGTTGTACATAAAGTTGCTATGAGTCTGAGCCAATTCAGTGGCACCACAACATTTTATGTTTGGTTCAATACAGTAGTTACATTAAGAAAAGAAAGGACTCTAATGATAGAAGAAGACATTTTAAAACTTACATATATCAGTCATCAAAACTTTTTATCAGGGAAAAGTCAATACTTGAACCACCAGGACTGTAATTTCCTAATCATCTTTCTCTTCAGATCTGCATGATGTGGTTTGTTGTTAGCTGCCGTGGTGGAGTCTGGATGTGGTTCAAACCCACTAGCTGCTCCGCAGAAGGAAGACAGGGTAACCTACATCCATAAAGATTTATAGCTTTGGAAACCCAATCGGGATCACTGAGTAGGAATCAACTTGATGGCAGTGAGTTTGGGTTTTTGGTTTGGAAGTAATTATTGTAGGTTATCTTTGGAACCTTGAGCTCCTAACCACTACCCTATGTTGCCTGCTTATAGGATTATGAGGAGTAAGATGAAATGTAAGGTGCCTGGGGCATATGAGAGTCACCTGTGCAGCTCTGGAAAACTAGAGATGCTTGGGCTCTGTGCCATGGGAAACTGGTTTGAAGTTTGGGAGACTCCCATGCACTTGTATTACAAAGAATAGATAGATGGTGGATAAAAGCCACTGTAAGCAATTGTAAGCAATTGAGAATTATGTCAGGTTATGTGAGAGTGCAGAGAAACACCCTACTTTTATGATTCATTGCTGACCAGAATATTTCACCTTCAGGACCTTTTCAAATAGACAATGCTGTGCTTGCCGACTGTATACCATGCCTATAGAGTACATCAGAATAATTTCATACATTTACTGTATTTTAATTACATGAAGGCATTTGATACTCATTTGGGCATAATGGAGAATATTTTTTTGTGTATTGGTAGCTCTAGTAAACTCAAGCTGTGGGGTGCTTATCTGTTCAGAATAGGCAGACAATGTGGGTCTGTAAACAGTGTATCAGGTGTGCAAGAGAGGCATAAAGCTGGCTTTTCACTTCCTGTGTGGTCCCTCTGAGGCCATCTGCATTTTAGGTGAGATGCTGGATAAAGTAAGTAGGATGCTGGCTCTGCTTGCTGTAGTTCCTAACACTGACGATGCTTCCCTAGTGGGACTTGAGACTGAGGGGGTAAGAATGTAGGCAGATTGTATCTTTAACCCATATTGTTGCTTGAAAACACTACAAATTCAATATGAAAAAAAATATTATGATCTCATTAAATGAAGGATGCATCAATTAGGAGAAGGGAGAATAATAGTTACATTTTATTAATTAGGCAATGTTACAAAATATTCTACAAAACATATAGGAAGAATAGATAATGATATGAGATAACCAAACTAGAGAAAAATAATTACTGAAAATCTGATAAGAGGAGACATGATGAAAGGAGGAAAGAGGAGATTATCTTAGCCATTATATCCTTCATGGATAAAAGTACATGAATAAGTCCTGACTCCAACTTACTTAGAGTTTATTTACAATGAAGATGAAAAATAATTTTAAAATATTTTGGTATCCTCATTTGTTCACCATAGATTAATTATGTGCAGATGGTTAAACCTTACAAAGGTTGTCAGTTCGAATCCACCAGAGGCACCTCAGAAAAGGCCTGGCGAATACATAGGAGTCACGATGAGTTGGAATTGACGACATCTAGTGATTACCATATACCTAGAAGTTTTCTAGCGATGGGGGTACATCAGTAAATAGATGATGCCTCTGATCTCCTTGAACCTACATCACCTTTTAAATAAGAGTGACACACATTAATTCATTTTGTAGATTTTAATGTATTTATCATGATTATCTTTAGCTCCAGCAAAGCAGAGGCTTAGTAAATGTTGAGCAAGTGGGCTTTAAAATAATAGAGAAGCTTAGTATGTGGGATCAAATTAACCAAATTGGATTGTATACTCTGACTTAAAAGGCTATACTGATCATTTAAGACTTTGATTTGGCCTCTAAATCACAGTTTTACCAGAGTATCTGTAACACTGGAGACAGGACTGGTACATAACATTCAGAATTTGAGGCTGTGGCTCACATAGTCTGTTGGACGAGTTGTTTCTTTGAGTCTTTGATTTTCTTCATTCTTCTTTCCTCTGGACAAGGACAGACCAATGGTTGCATCTTAGATGTCTGCTTACTAGCTTATTTAAGACCCTAGTCCCTACTTATCGCAGGAGGGTGTAGAACATTGTCTCTGTGGAGTATATTATGCCAGTTGACTTGCTTGTCTCCTGAGATTGTGGTCCTTAGCCCCCAAGCTCAAGACTAATTCCCACAATGTTATAGATAAGAAGTTTTCATAACTCTGCCCCTGTTTATTCTACATTATACATGATATGTTTACAGCACGTAAAAATATGCATGTAGAAATACCCTCTGCCAAATCTATATATGGTCATGGGTATAGTCCCATTTGCCTACCCATACCAGTTCAGCTTGTATATCTGCCTGTATATCTACTCATAGATTATTGTTTGTTATTACTGATATTGCAGGATTATGTATGTAATAGT